AATCCATGGACCTGTTTGTTGATATTTCTACGGATATGTTGCTGAATAGCTGGCTGGAGGTGGCAAATTCTGCTCCTGCTCGCTCTTTAGTTTTCCTTGTGTGTTCACCACCAGGAAGTGGACTTATAAAGCTAAACTTTGATGGAAGTAGTGAGGGAAATCCAGGTCCATCAGGTGTAGGAGGGGTTTTCAGAGATGACGATGGGAAGGTGCCCGCTTTGTATTCAGGTTCCATTGGGACTGGAGACTCTCTCAAAGCTGAGGTCTATGCAGTACTGGAGGGTATAAGGAAATCTAAGGAACTGAATATACAAAAGTTGGTCATTGAAGGGGACTCAAAGCTGGTCTTAAGTTGGTTACAAGAAGGTAGTAGACTTTGGAAATATGCTAAAAAGGGGAGGGATATTAAGTGGCTAACTAGAGGATTGGAAATCAAGTTTCAATGGGTCAAGAGAACAAAAAATGTATTTGCTGATGCTTTGGCAAAGCAGGGGGTGGGAAGGGATCAAATGTTTTGGGCTGCTCTGTAACTTTTTCTTTTTTGTTATCTTCCTGGAGAGAATTAAGCCTGTTTATCTCTCTTTGGAACGCTTTAACTAAATTCTTTTAATCTAATGAATTCCAGTTATTGATCAAAAAACAAGTGTTTTAGAAGGCTGACATCAAACTTAATAGTGCTCTTGTGGCTTTTGATGGCCGGTGTTCTTTGTTTATCTCTTGTTATTTGGTCGCTGGAATGTTGTGTCTTCTTGTGTAGACAAAAGATTGAGATAGAACCAAATCAGCCAATCTATATTGAGTTTCTTCCTTACTTTTTGGGTCCTTTGACCCGTAATGTCATCTACACTATTCCTTTTTCTTCTATACATTTTAATACATATAAAAAATGTAATGAGAAAAGCAAAAGGCTACAGGTACTTTGGGCTTGCTTTACACATTAAATTGGAGGACAGGAAGATTAAAAAGACAATTTTTAGGGTGCAGAATAGGAAAAATATAGGATGAACATGATGAAGCATCAAATGAAAATTTCATTAAAGAGCAGAAACTACACTGCTTAGAACCAGAGCAGGAGGCCAAAAATTAAAACATCCTTAGAAAATCCAAAAGATGACAACAACTACAAATTACAGCCCGGCCCTGGACAACACCAATCCAAACTATCATTACCTGCCCCCAATTTCACCAGGGAGCCAACTAGCCTATTTGCACTCTTGGGTGCCCAGATGAATGAGATGTTCAAGATGGAACCTAAGGAATGAGCCAATCTCACCAACTGTCTAAATTGCCAAGGTATTAATTCCTGAGATTTCATCCACAAAACTGTTTGACAGTCCACCTTGACCACTATATTTGATAACCCTTGATCAATTATCAGTTTAAGGTCTTGAAATAAAGCCAATGCCTCCACCCTTAGAGAATTTCCAAATCCAGCTGACCCTGAATAGCTAAGAATTGCATTGCCAGCAGAATCTCTAACCACTCCTCCCACGCCTGAGCTCCCAGGGTTTCCAAAACAGCACCCATCAAAGTTTAGTACTAGGGCCAAGCCATACACCTGACTTGATTGCCAAACCAGCTCTCATACATAATCATTGATAATTTATAAAATGGTAGACAAAAAGGAATATATATATATATATATATATATATATTATAAAGCGATTAGGCCCCATGTTCAGCAGCCCTCTCCTTAAACCTCTCTCCTATCTCCCTTATCCCTTTCCAGCTCTCTCATTCACTCCCTCTCTCTCCTTCCCTTCCCCTACCCAAGCCTCCCAATAGGCCACATCAGCAAGTCTCTCAACCAAGTTATATACAGGCAAAGGAATCCTTCTCCTTCCCTCTAATTGCCAAAAACATGCCAATTGCAATTTTTATAAAAACCACTCAAGCCATTTGCTTGCCCACTTTCAGTCGTACCTAGCGAATACCAAGCAGGAAAGCAGAAGAGAAAAAAACACACCTCTGATAACTGGTTTTTCACCGACATTGAACATTAGATCCAAGTTTGGCAACTTTTCCGAGTAACTCCTCATAAGTTGGATGATTTCCCACAATATAGAAACATCACTTCCTTCTACTATATCTCTATATTTCACCACATACGTAAGCTCTCCCATTCACAATCATTAGCCTAAAAAATGTAGACCTTCTTGCTCCTTCCACCATCTCCCTTGAGATTCCAGTATCTTTCCATACCCATAGGTCTTCGTGGATCCAACGGAAATATTTTGGGCATACCTCAGTTGATGATGAGTGCTCATTTCCCTCTCTCTCAAATTTTTCCCCATAAACATCTCTCAAATATGATGAATGCTCATATTCTAGGTGCAAATCTGCAGCAACACAAGGGAAATGGTCATGGCGATGGTTTCTACCCAGAGATCAAGCATACCACGCCCATGCTCCAGATCAGGAGAACTGATTTTGACCACTGTGAGTTGTGTGGTTCCTCCCTGAAGAAACAATCATTGTTGGCTCCGCAACAAGAACCTCCCACCTCTAATTCCGATCCTCATCCAAGAAACAAGAAGATCCTGAACCCTCCACCAACTTTGGTTGGTTTACTGTTAGAAACCGGCACTTGGAAGACCTACCGGCATCCATATGGTGTTCTACATGTTCAATGCTGACCTATTAGTGCACTAAAGTAGGAGAGAATGGCTACAGGATTCACTACTTTGAATAAACACCGTCTGGGTCGACCACTTGCATAGATGGTTCCTAGGCTGAACAGTCTGACCGTCCGGGTCAACGACAGTTCAAAAAAACTGGTTTAAATATTTAAATAACTAAATATTTTAAATAATAAAATATTTAACATAACTAAATTTTAAATATTCAAAATAAAAAAATAAGTTATAAATTTAAAAAAAATCTTAAACAGAGAAAAATAATTATAATAGACTTCATAATATTGTAACTAATAATAATTTTATATTTTACAAAATTAATAACAAAATTATGTAATAAGAGTATAAATTATAATTTTACAAATTATATAATTTAACAAAAAATTAATATTTTAAAATTTAAATAATGAAACTATTTAATTAACTAAATAATAATTTAAATAACTAAATTCTAAATATTTTAAACATTGAAAAATATAATAACTAAATCATATTTTATATATTATTGAAATAAAAGAAAATAGATTAAATAATGAAATTAAGTAATAACTTTAAAAAAGTTTATTAGAAACACAAAAATAATTATAATATATTTAATAATATTTGATAATAAGAATATCACATATAAATAATTTAAAATAATAAAAAAAACTTAGAGGTATTGAAGCTTCCAAATAACAAAAATATGTAATAACTTTCAAAAAATATTTTTTAATATATATTAGAAAATAGAATAATAATTACAATTATTATATTACTAATAATAAAAAAATATTTCACTTATATCAATTAATAACTCTAGAAAACAATTTTCATAAAAATAATATTTATCAATACTAGTTTTAAAATCTATATCTATTATATATTTACATATACTGAAATTAATATTTATCGTATCTCAGTAATTATCTATTATATTTTTGTGATAAATATATTTTCAATAATTATGTACAATCTATTTTCGTTTTGTTATTTAATAATAAATTTTCAATAATTATTGGAGATTAAATTATTGTTATTGAAATTTATTTTCATTAATTATATATTTCATTATAATTTATTGATTAAAATTTATTAGAGATTACACTATTTATTGATTAATTTAATATATTTTCAGTATTTATTGTATTTTTATAATTATTGGATTTTTTGTGTTTTTATTAGTTATTTATTTTATTTTCAGTAATTATATATTTTCGCTATAAAATTTCAATAATTACTGGCAACTAAACTATTGTTATTTATTAGAGATTAGACTATTACTTGAGCTGAAATTAATTGTTTTTTTCTTATTATAAAAATTTATTAAAAGTAGTATTTTTTTATATTGAATCATACTCCTGAACCCCCATAGGGGTCAAAATTCTTTATTATCTTTTTTGGGCACAACACAGCAGGTCAACAATATATAACTCTTCAAAGTCATTGGAAGCCATTGGAGGCACTTGAATCCACATCTCTGCTGGGAAACCCCAACTAATGTACTAACTAAGCCACCACTCAATTAGCATAGTAGTATATTATAAAGCATAAATAATTATTAATTATTTCAAAAGTTAAAGTATAAAAAAATTTGTTTACTCTTATATGTTTTTATTGTTTCACTTTTGCTTAACAAAAGCCTGTGTATCGCACGGTTCCCACTAATATGTATCTATGTATGTATATGTATGTATATATATAAATATAGGAGTAGGGGTTGGGGAGAGGAAAGTAGCAGGCAAATATCACACCTAATCAAACCAGAAACTAATACAAGAGCCACCATAATCATCCATCCAAAAAAAGTAACAAATAAGAAATAAGTAACCCAATAAATAACAACCATCCACCTCCTAGAATAAAACGTTCCCAGCAAAAAATCACCCAAATACCCCCATCAGGCCAGAAGAGCACAAACAGCAGTTCTGGTAATCATGATCTGTATACTTGTGACTTCTGTTAGCTCTTAGCTTATTTTTCTGTTCCTTCAATTCATTATGTTCTTACACCAAAACAGGAAGAAATCAGGGTTCCAAGAAGCTGAAGCATCTTTCGACTCTTCCAATGGTACTCTGTTGGATGAGAAGGAGAAGCAACTTCCTATGCACAGTTAATTTGTGTTTTTTGGCGTATTTTTATATTCCTTCAATTCATTATGTTATTGCACCAAAACAGGAAGAAATCGCTTTCATATTGATCAGTTGAGATGAAACTAACAATGAAACTTCTCACCCAACAGAAAAGACATGTTGCAAACAAGCAGAAGGTTCCCTAGAAGATTAGCCATGACATATAAAACAAATCTCCATTCAGCTTGTAAATTTCTAAGAAGATTAACCACCTCATAAACAAGCATTAAACAATGGTAAATGTGACACTTACAGCAAACACTGGTGCCCACAGAGTAGCAACTGTCAAAGCATTATGATTATCTGCAGCCACAAGCAGCAGCTTAATCAACAAAAAGGAACAACATCAAGACAAATAAAATATTGAAAACCTACAAGTATGCACTTTTAAAGGTGCTTCTACGTTAAAATCACAAATTCATTCACATGAATCCCAGAATTTCCACCATTTTTTTCCAACAAGGAAATAAATAGAAAAATCTGCATCAGACATATGCAATGTGAGTAGGAATTCCATGTTTCTTCATAGCTAAGGGCATTGTTGAAACAATGAATGCAGACACCACATGGACTCCCGAGGGAAAACTTCCATATACATTCTGTTTTTATAGACTATTCCTAAATAAAAATAATAAAATTTCTGAGGTACACAACTTTTCTCCAAGTGCATGATGTTAGAACTCACAAGATATAGACAAACTAAAACCATGGTTTAATATTGCTGGAATAAACATATTTCCCACCTTCCCAGTGCTTTAATAATTTTATATTTTTGTTAATCATATAATTTAACGTTTTTGAGTTACATGTACATTGATATTATCCAAAGAATGCTTTAATATGACTCTTTTTCTCCTAAAACCATTCTTCATTTGAGTTTACCATTATAGATGACTCATCCCTTCTTATTTTTTCCCTTATGAAATATTTTTACTCATTCATAATTTAATGAAATATAGTTGATGTTTTAATATTTTCAACGAACATAACAGCATAAAATCCATATTCATCACTATATCCTTTTATAACTTTACAAAAATTAACAGATTTACTAAAAAATTAATATTAACAATATTATAAAAGTTTTCCAAATTAGTATTTACAAGACTAGAAATTTTACAAATGAATATTTGCAAATATTATAAAAAATTTCCAATATTTCTGACATATTCCTTTAAGTGGTCAACATTTCAACCAAAACTGACATTTAAAAGCTAAATTGAGAGACATTACTTTGTGCCTGGATTTTTATCATTTCAATTTTCTCCCACAAGAATGGTTTCCACTCTTAAAGGATACTTCATTTGCAATCAAAGGTTACTACAAAAAACAAATGAAAATTAAAAAGGGCAAACCCCATAGAAACTATCTTGGAAAACTCCCAGAATTAGAATTTTAAGAGAAGGGACAATAATTTGAATGAACATTTCTGATCTCATAAGAAAGTTGAGATATATGTTCCAAGTTATCTTATATTGTGCCTACCTTGCAATCAACTGAACTTAGCATTCTCAATCAGCTTTAATGATACATTCATGGAAAAGGGAAAGAAAACATTGATTTAGAAATCAAGTTTCTGCAGATTATGAAACCAGTAGCAATTACATAGTTTTTTGTCTTTTTGGGAGTTCAAATTTGAATCTGTTAAGCCTTTTAAAAGTGATTTCCTAGTTTCTTGGTGTCAAAAGCACAGGTCTAATCAACTAAAGGGATCAAGCTACTTTAAAGAGTCTCATTACTCATTAGAGTGTAAATTTTAAAGAATTTGAGCACGTAGGTAAACCACTTTTCTTGCAAACCAAGTTTTAAGGAGTCAAAACATGTCCTTTTGACATAATTTTTGTTGTAAATATAGGTGCTGTTCGGTACTGTTTTCATCTCGTGGATGGACCATTTTGATCCATGCCACGGGATGAAAGTAGCGTTCGGTTCGCTGTGGACGGGACCATGGTTTAAAGTATCGATACGATACGCCCTGTATCAGGCATATCGTATCTTAAGAAAACGATACGATCCGAAATGCCTATTTCCAGGTGTTTCGGAACCCCAACTTTTTTTAATTAAAAAAAAACTTGTTTTTAGCTTCCCAAAAAACCAAACTTTGAAAAAAAAATAGAGTTTCGAGCATTTCTAAGTACCGATACGATATTGCCGAAACGTGTATCGTATCGATAATTTGAACCTTGGACGGGACCGGTCCACACTATCTCGTGGACCAGCCCTGTCCACACTCTAATTTCTCAGAAACGGCTTTTTCTCATGGATGGAGTCGATCCACGGGTTGCCTTTGCTAATATGTTTCACGCACAGTATCTATAACCCTACATCTTGTTGAAGGTCTCCTTCGCCGAACCTCTGTTGTGCTCCACCGATGTCGTCCAAGCTCTTCACCGAAGGTAAGACCCTTATTGCATCTTTTTTTTATCTTGAACAACATACTCTTTTTTTGCTCTTCACCGAAGCCTTCCAGCCTCTGTTGTGCTCCACCGAACCTCTGCACTGCTTTCCTGGTTTTGAACTTCTTGATAGGGGTTTTGTTCTTATTGTGCTCCACCGAACCTCTGTGCTGCTTTCCACTTTTTTTGTTCTTATTGTGCTATAACACGGAATGTTGGAATGGATCCTCAAAATGTGATTTCTTTTTTGATTTTTGAAAACGGTAAGGTACTCTATTGTTTAAAGCCCAAGATATAGGATAACCTAATAGAAAGTTCTGCTTGTTTCATTTTAAACTAAAATAGATAAAGTAGACTGAAATTTAAGGGACTTGAATGAATGGCAGTCAAACTAGTTGGTTAGAGCTTCAATAGGTTCAAGAAGGAGCTTTAGGGCAGTGCTAGTAGGATGGTTATTGATCCACAAGAAATGACTGTTTATGGAGCACAAAGTACTAGGAAATGACGAGGAAAGACTCAAGAAATTAACAAAAAAAATCAGAGTTGAACTTAGTTTTCAAGTTTGGGAATTTAAGGATCAAATTGAAGAATAAAGATGTTTTGGTTTTTATCCTCTGTTTTTTTTTTCCTGAGCAAAAGGTAAAGCATAAGCTTTGCTGATTTCTCCTCCAACACTGCAGCTTGCACTTACATACTTTGCACTCTTCTTCTTATCTCTCTTATAATGGTGGTCCTTTTTTTTTTATTTAAGTACTAGTTGTAAGTGTGGTGGTTTATCCATGCACCATTGTAGGAAACCAATTGAACAATATTTTGATATTATGCTTGCATTACAACTAGTACGGGAATAAGTGGATTATTAGTTTGCATAAATTGTTAGATGTCGTGCTTATCTTGCAAAAAATTTCTCATATCAATTGTTTAAATATTATTTTTAACACTTTTGTCAATAAAATATTAATTACCTTACTTAATTTTTTAATTTTTATATTTTTTTAATGTTTTTATCAATGAAATAATATTTTTTTAATATTTAATATATATTTTATATTTTTTTAATTATTTTACCTTTGTTTTATAAAAAAATGATCTTTTTTGGTTAATATTAATTCATTGATGTATTTTTTAAAATATCTATCATACAAAATGCAAAAATTACATATTTATGATTAACTGTGTATATCATTCATTCCATGTACATGAGATACATGGAATCAAAAAAGTGTGGCCATAGAATGCCACTATGGGTGTGGACTGGTCCTGTCCACACAGTTTGTCCACAGTTCAGAACAGTTGTGGACTGTGGTGTGGTGTGGATTGGTCCCTGCCACAGGGTGTGGCGTGGACCAGTCCACACCCACCAATTTCTCATCCACACTACAGAACACTGCCATAGTTTCCCAGCTTGTCTACCAAGATGAATATCTTATGAATCCAATGTGTTATTGGCCAAGTAATGGTTACTTCACCAATCAAATGACAGTCTGTCACAAGATTTTACTCACTAGAGTTGTCTTCAGTATGATAAGTTTAGTAGGATTAGTGGTAGTGGATATTTGAAGTTTAAGTCCAAGTCCATATATTGGTGTCCTTACAGATTTTTTGGTATAAGGCAAAATTTTATAAGAATAAAACTATAAAAGAACTAGTACAAGATAGGCCAAGAGGTTGCACCAAAATCACAATCAGACCATGTAACAGATAAAACCATCCCAGCTAACCACTTACTGAAATAAACTCTAGTGTAGATCAGAACTCCAATATAGAACTATCCACCTCACCAAATTATTTAACAGCTTTGGTCCAACCAAGTAAGAAAAAACAAATATCTTCCACCATTTTTATAATGCTTTTAAACCATTCCTTAAAAAGAATGCTTGTATTCCTCCCTCCAAATACCCAAACAAACAGAAAATGCAATCATATTCCACAAAACCTTGTGGTTACCATAATCCATAATACATTTTCAAGTCGTTTCAATTCACTTTTGATATTGGAATTCAATATTTTTGCTCTATAAATGGCAGGGTGCAAGTCGGGTTCTGACTTCTATTTGAAGAATTTCAACTACATCAGGCTTGGGTTTGGACTCAGAGCCTTTTTTATCAGCAAGAAAAAAATATTAATACAATATTAATACAAGAGTGAGAACATAGCAGTACAATCTCTTCCCATAATGGTGTTTACGAGTTCGCCTAAATAAATTATTTCTATTTACCCCCTATTGGGCTAATCAATCAGCCTAAAAGTTATCCAACCTTGGAACCCAGCAGACAATCACTTGCATGTTCCTTGTCAACCATCTGACTTCTTCAACTCATTTCCAAAAATCCATAAATCTTTTCCCCCATTCTTAGACCTTAGAAACACCTATCATTAAATTCTCCACCACTAGATCATTTGCAAGTTGCACACCCTGTAAAACTGCCAACTCAGCCCTAGTAGAGTCTCCTTCCCCAATTTGGGCCAAAAACATTGCCTTCACAATCCCTCCCTCAGCCCTTATGACCCCTCCCACTCCAAAAGAACCAAGATTCCCCAAACTGTTTGGGCTCAGAACCATTGAAACTTTAACCAACTCTCAACCCAAGCTGACTCAAGTTGCACCATTAATAAATAGATTCAATGTACTTAGAAAATCCGAGATTAAATATGGGATAAAATTATATATTTTCAAGGTGCCAAGTTTCGTACACCTTCCCTATTATACTCTCTTCTCTCTCTAATTTCATCTCTTTCTTTGTGAAATCATTCTACTTAAACCCATTCATTTGTTCCCTCTTACCTATCTTGATATGAAATATTTTTTATCAATATCTGAAACACTCTTCTTTCTTCCACCTTTTCAGATCCAAGGTTAAAAGTATTGACATGATACGCCCCATATCGGGCATATCATATCACATT